CATGTTAAGTTGTAATTGATGTTAATTTTTTTTTATATGTAGATTTTTCCGATGGATATGAAAGTAGTAGCTGGGAGTTTAGTAAGCATAACAAATTGGTTTACTGGTTGGATCGTCAGCTACTGTTTCAATTTTATGCTTATTTGGAGCCAAACCGGTACGTTACACAAAATTGACCTTATTAACCAAATATATAGTTTTGTTACCACCCTTAACATTTTTTTATACATGTCGCATTCTTTGCCCTCATTTTTAATCAACTGATGTAAAATTTTCATGAAAAAATCTACTCGAGTTCTTTGGATATATTATTGGATCTTAAAATGATATATAATTTATGAAACTCTTAAATGACGATACCTATTATTAATAGTATATTAATATCGTTTTGTTAATTTGAATTGCAGGGACTTTTAGTATATTCGCCATGATAAGCGGATTAACAATTATATTCGCATGGTGCTTGGTTCCTGAGACTCGAGGATTAACTTTAGAAGAAATCCAGCTTCGACGTGATTAATACTTTGAGTTGATCCCAAAAAATTATACGCGATCAAAATTGGCTTTCATATATACAAACAATATAAAGCAATTATTGTCTAAATCTTATTATTATGAGTTTTATGTAAAATCATCTTCATTATCTGATCGACCAGAACTTTTCCTACTGGCTCTTTCATTTTTTTCTCTTCCTAAGATCGTTTATGATGTCTCTGAGTTTTATATGGTAGTTCTCTTTCATGCAAACACCTTATGCAGGCACAATGTTGTATTCCTTCTTACACATATTCATCTTCTATATTACTTCTAACAGTTAATTCCAAAATACTTCCTTAAGTAGAACTTCAAGCGTAGTTTGGCATTAGTTCTACTAAACGTCGTTTCTTGAATATTCTTTTCAGATCCAAAAAGCTATTTTTAAAACAAGCTAATTGGGCCGGTTCAAACTTGGGGTATGACAGTAAAAATATGGGCTAAGATTTGAGCTCATCGACAATGAGTGTAGACTAATAGTTCTCGTCGGTTGTGTAGTCTTTTAGATTAGTCAGGTATATATATTCTTTTCTTTTTTCAAATCAGAAAATTGCTACTTTGCATAGTTTAAACGCTTTATTTTGGTTAGTGTTAGAACGAATCCAATTGGATTTTGCAATTTCTATGCTTTGGCCATCATGCCGAGTTGCCGATAGGGCCCAATTTTTTTTGGGCTCCAATTATTTTTGATTTTTTAATATTAAAAATAGGTGTTCGCTTTTTTTTTTTTGCAAAAAATGCTCTCAAATTGAAAATTTATATATAAAACTCTTAAAAAAAAAGATTGTTTAGAATCCCCTAAATCTCAGGACCGACTCTGAGTGTTGTGGCATAATCTTTTTTGTTGTTCAAACAACATGCTTCATGCTTGTAGGCTCATTACAGCGTAAAATCAACCAAAATATTG